CTTAAATGTTTTTAAAATTGTTCTTTTAGACTGGCAGTGGTGGTACATGCCTTTAGTCCCAGCGCTTAGGAGGCAGAGGCAGGCATATCTCTGTAAATGGAACAAGAGCTAGTTACAAGACAGCCTCCAAAGCCACCAAGAAACTGTCTTGAAAAAACAAAACAAAATTTCTTTTATTATATGTATATGCATGTTTTGTCTGCATGTTTGTCTATGTGCCATGTGAATGTCTGGTGCCATAGAGGCCAGAAGTCACCATACCCTGGAACTGGAGTTACTGACAGCTGTGGGCTGCCATGTGTGTGTGCTGGGAATTGAACCTGGTCCTTCGAAAGATTAGCCAGTGCTCTTAACAGTTGAACTGCCTCTCCAGCTCCTATTTGTCTTTTTATTCTTTCCTTCCCCTCCCCTTCTTCTCTGAGACAGCATTTCCATATGTAGTCCAGGCTGACTTTGAACTCTTAATCCTCCTGCCACAGCCTCCAAAGTGCTAAGAGTAGAGATATGCAGGCATAAGACACAATGCTAGCTAGGATCTCCTGTTATGCAATGGTGGGGGGGGGAGAAGGGAGAAAGAAATGTAAGAGATGCAGGCAGGAAATCATGAGGCCCAGCCGGGAGGCTCTTCTCCAATTAGGAAACAGCTACTGTGGGAAAGTGCAATTTTAGAGTTATTTGGGTTTTTTTGGTTTTTCGAGACAGGGTTTCTCTGTGTAGCTCTGGCTGTCCTGGAACTAGCACTCTGCCTCCCGAGTGGTGGGATTAAAGGTGTGCAGAAAAATGCAATTTTGAGATGGGGTCTGTAAACAAACAGATATAGCCTCCAGGGTGGGGAGATGGCTCAGCAGTATAGGTTATGGTGTTTTACAGTTTATTATACAGGAGGGCTCCTTTGGATTCCTTGAATCCATATAAATGTCAATGTCAGGGGTTGGATGAAGCAGCTCCCACAAAGAAAATTCCTGACACCTACCTCAGGCCTCGACATGCATGCCTACACGTGTGACAGATACATGCTTACCAGACACACGTGGAAACATTCTTTCTCTCTCCCCCCTCCCTCAGGAAACTCAGTATGTTGGGGATTTGGAGGTGATACATTAGCCAAATTCTCCAGCATAGTTCATTCTACATATTTAGCCGCCACTCTTCCCTGATCAATGTTTTAGCTTTCCTAGAAGACTATGTAAGTTTGTCAACTAAGCAAACAATAATTTTTGGTGCTGAGAATCCAGCATTGTTTGACTTACTACCATTTCAGTTCTTCCACTGCTAAGAGTGTGTTTTGCAGAATTTCTTACAAAGCTTTACAGTGGTCACAGCAATGTCCCTGGGTTTTAAATTGATAAATTTAGCTAATTATTTAGGATTCTGGTTTTGTTACTGTGAAGATTTCAGCAATATGGAATTGATTTGGTGGCACACACCTGTAATCCCAGCACTTAAATGAAGGCAGGAGGACCAGAGGTTTAAGGTCATGCTCAGCTATGTAGTGAGTTGAAGGCCAACCCCACATGAGATCTCTCGAAAAACAAAAAAAGTTAGGTGTGATGGTGCATGCTTCTAATCCTTGCACTTAGGAAGTGGAGGCAGAAGGATCAGAAATTCAAGGTCAACTCTGTACATAGCAAGCTGTGGCCAGCCTGGGCTGCTTGAGACCTTATCACAAAACACAACTTCGGCACTATTAGGAGCAATAATAAAAGCTGAGTGTGGTGGTGCATGCCTGTAATCCCAACACTCTGGAGTAAGGCAGGATCTAGAGTTCAAGGCTAGCCTGGGCTACAGGGTGGGAAACCATAAGGGGGCTGGAAAGATGGCTCAGTGTATTAACACGAGTGTGGCATAAACATAAGGACCTGTGTTTAAATCCCCAGTACTCAAGGGAGACCAGCTGTAGCCTTGTAACCACAGCAGAGAATGGTGGAGACAAGAGGGTCTCTGGGGCACGCTGGCATAAACCTAGCTCTAGGTAGAGATCCTGTCCCAAGGGATTAAGGCAGAGTGATATCTGATGTCCTCCAGGCCTCCATACACAAGCACAGGTGCCTGTACCCACCCACCCACACACACACACACACACACAAACATACACCCGAGCATACACACACAACTTGAATAATGAAGAAAGCAGTCAAGCCAGGCATGCTTGTGTATGCCTTTACTCCTGGCACTCATGAGGCAGCAACAGTCATCATCTCTGAGTTTGAGGCCAGCCTGATCTACACAGGGCAGCCCAGACTTGTGGAGTATTTGTACACTGTGAAAATAAATGTATTACTGTGATTGGTTTAATAAAGAGCCGAACAACCAATAGTTAGGCAGGAGGTATAGTTGGGACTTGTGGATAGAGAATCTGGATAGAGAATCTGGATAGATGAATCTAGGCATTTGGGAGATGCCAACTAGATATGGAGGAGTCTGGTGTTGGTGGCACATACCTTTAAACCCAGCATTCAGGAGGCAGAGGCAGGCAGACCACTGTGAGTTTGAGGCCAGCCTGGTCTACAGAGCAGGTTCCAGGACAGGTTCCAAACCAATACAGAAAAACCATCTCGGAGGAAAAAAAAAAAAGACATGGAGTCAGACATACAGAATGAAAGGTAAAACCACGAGGCAAAAGACTAATATAAATGGGTTAATTTATAAGAGCTGGTGGCACAAGCTTAAACTAAGGTTGAGCTTTCATAATTGCTAAGAAGTCTCTGTCATTATTTGTGAGCTGGTGGCTGACAACAAAGCTTGCTACATAGGCTACATAGTGAGATGCTATCTTTTTTTTTTTAGTTTTTTTGAGACAGGGTTTCTCTGTGGCTTTGGAGGCTGTCCTGGAACTAGCTCTTGTAGACCAGGTTGGTCTCAAACTCACAGAGATCCACCTGCCTCTGCCTCCCGAGTGCTGGGATTAAAGGTGTGCACCACCAATGCCCTGCCGTGAGATGCTGTCTTAAAAACAATAGCTGTCAGAAGACTTCCCAGTTCTTTATTTTGGTGTACCCTTCATATATTCCTATGGTAATTGTGTTTGGAAGCCCTAAGCCATGCCTTTAGTTGGCACATCAGTACATGATTAATGAGTTAGTCCACTCCTTTGCTATTTTTCACAGGCTCTGAGAACTGCACTCTCTAATGTTCACTGGATTCTCCCTGCCTTCACCTCAAACCAGTCCAATTTTAGCCAGTCTCCACTCTTTACCAGTCCATCTGTGAGAATCACAACAGGATTCCACTGTTTTTTCTGTCAGTCACCTTCCCGAAATAATGCTTAATGGATGACCCACAGGTTAACTCAGGGAATAAGCAGGAATAAAGACAAGTTATGCAGGAACACCACCAGCAAAGCAGAGCCAGGGAGCCAGTGTGCAGGACACCCTCCTTTCACTGGACACAGGAACCGGCCTGCACTGTTGTCTTCCCTGGCATTCAACACTGGATCCAAGGGTTGGCAACAGAGACATCGTTGTGCCTGCCAACTTGAAGCCGCTGCCACGGACACCAGAATGAAGTGTCCACTGTCCTTGTTCCTCTGTCATTAGTCTCAGATTCAAAACCCCAGATAAGTGCATCTGATTGGCAGAGCCTAAGTTAAGGGCTTGTATCCCAGCTGGTAGAGTGGCAACAGTTCTCACTGGTCTCTTCAGTTCAGCTTCTTTTGGGGGCAAGGACTCTCAAATAGGAGGGGTGTTCAGAACCTGCAAGTGCTTTACATTTATTTATGCTGCTCTAGGCAGATGCTCCATCATGTAACACTTAGATACAAGCTTGTGTTTGTAGCAAAACTGTTAGTTTCTTTCTTATTACTGCAATAAAATACTCTGCTAAAGACTAGACGTGGCTCGGTGGGAAAGAGCACTTGTTCTTGCAGAGGATAAGAGTTGGGTTCCCAGCGCCCCTGTGGCAGGACACACCCACTTGTAATTCCAGCTCTACAGAGATCCAGAGCCAGTGTAATTTGCTCACAGGAACATTATCACTCGCTGTTGGCAGGTCTGTTCTCAGCACAGGACTCTTTAGCAGGCCGCTTGAAGTTCCTTAGCCATAAGACATTGGCTGCCCCCACAAAGCTAGTGTGATAGCCTGTTCCAGATGCTGTAAAGTATCATCAACTGAGTGGCTTCTAATATCAACTTCTTTCTCATAGTTCAGTACCTGGTAAGGGCCCACTCCTTGGCTCACAGATGCTGTCTCTTACTCATCCTCACATGGCAAAGGAGCTATGCAAAGCCTTTTGTGAGGGCAGAATCCAGAGTCATTTCTCTCCATTACCTAACAAGGCCCCTCCTTCCTACAGCATCATAGCAGAGGTAAGGAATTTGATGTACATAAACGTTCATCTAGGGCAGAAAGCCATTCCAGAGAACATGGTGTAAACCAGATCACCCTTTTAAGACCTAACCTCCAAACTGCTAGTCTAATAGGCCAGACCAGAAGAGGATTCTCATACTCTATTCTGGAGACTGGCTGCTACATGAAATGTGGGTATCTATCCCAGGCCAACTGAAATCAGAAGGAGGATTGCCTATGTGCTTGAGGCCAGCCAGGTCTGCATAGTGAGTTTCAGGCTAGCCAGGGCTACATAAACCTGTCTCAAAAGAAAAAGCGGGGAGGTGATAAAAAATGTTCCTGATTTAATAATTTAGCCTAAGAGGGTATTTGTAATTTATCGAAGACTAATTACACTACTCTACCACAGTGTTCAAATGCCAAGGCCTCCTTGGGAAGAAAACACCAAGGAATTTGGGTTATGGGCCTATTTCTTTATTTTTCAGAGAGGGCCTCACTATGTAGACGAAACTGGCCTAGAACTCCCAGAGACTCACCTGCCTCTATCTCCTGAGTGCTGGGATTAAAGCTGGAGACCTATTTTAGTGATAGATCCCTAGTCCTGATTGTTGAGACCCGAGTCTGATCTCCAACAACATACACATGAAAAACTTCTATCATAAACTTGCCCTCCTCATTCCATCACACACAGTTCCAGAATAACAAATCCACTCAGAAACATGCAACAATGTTTTTTATTAGGCACAGGATTTTAAATGATCTTTCCAATTATTCCATACACAGGCAAAACTATGTGTGCCATTTAATATACTGGAGCTTGCCAACTGAATCACTACCTAGAGAAGGGAAAATTATCCCCAACCTGCTTAACCAGGAGGCCAATTCATCTGCCGACCCCCGAGAACATGGAGATGAATATGGTAGACAGACTGTCCTCCGTCTGCACCTTCATTCACCACCATCCGATAGCCCCGGTTCAGGCCCAGATCCGCAGCACATTTCTTGCCAACAATCATTAAATGTCCTAGAAGCTAGAAAAGAACAAAGGGTTTCTTAAGTACAGGAAATGTACACTGCTGTCCATTAAATAACAGTCAAGCTGGGCTTAGTGGTGCATGCCTTTAATCCCAACACTAAGGAAACAGGCAGGTTGGTCTCTGTTAAATTCTAGGCCAGCCAGGCATTGGTGGTACACCCCTTTAATCCCAGCACTTGGGAGGCAGAGGCAGGTCGATCTCTGTGAGTTCAAGGCCAGCCTGGTCTACTGAGCAAGTTACAGGACAGGCTCCAAAGCAATACAGAGAAACCCTGCCTCGAAAAACAAAAAAAAAAGTTCTAGAACAGCCTGTCCACATAGGAAGTTTCAGGACAGCCAGGGCTACATAGACCCTTTGTCAAAAACAAAACAAAACAAAAAAGAACAACAACAAAAACTCAGTTAAGTAAAATGTGTTAGAAATTTACTTACACTTTCGTCATCGTCTTCTGCTACAGAAATCTGGGATATATGCTTCTTGGGTATCACCAGGAAATGTGTTGGTGCTTGAGGGGAAATGTCATGAAAAGCAAGACACTGGGGGAAAGAAACAGAATCCATCATATATCATCCACTAGACTAAAACATACTCTCTAACAAGTATTATGCACTAATCAAATGGGAGGCACTGAATTAGATGCTAAGAAAACAGATGTGTACATGATACACATGGCCTCATAATATTTTCATGACATTTAAGACAAGTTTTCAGAGAAGACTTTAAGCAGACATATAATTATTAAAGGTCAGACATGTTATGAAAGGAAAGGGGGAGTGTATGATTACCACAAAGAAAATAGGATTCAGGTGATCCAAGGATAACCATTCTGAGGCAGTGCCACTGAATCTGTGATTTAATGTATGTGGTGGTTTGAATAATTATGGCCCCCACAGGCTCATATATTTGAATGCTTAGTAATCTGGGAATGATCATGGATCTCTCTCTCTCCATGTTTCCCACCAGGATGATAATGGACTAAACTCTGAAATTGTAAGCTCCTAATTCAATGTTTTCCTTTATATGAGTTGCCTTGGTCATGGTGTCTCCTCACCACAACGAATGAGCAAAATTAAGTCCTATCAACCTTGCCAGGCTGATCTCATTCAAGTTCTCTGGTTCAAGTCACACTGTCCATAGTTCTCTATCTTCAGGGCTTGCTATCCCTCCCACAATGATCTTCTCTATACTCTCTTTTTAGTAAGATTTCAAGGCCAGCTAGGTCTACAAAGCAAGTTCCAGAATGGCCAGGGCTATTACACTGAGAAACGCTGTCTCGGGTAAAAAAAGAAAAATATTATTTTTTTATGTAGATGATTTCTGCCTGCATGTATGGATGTATACCATGTTCATGCTTTGTCCATGAAGGCCAGAAGAAGATACAGGATTCCCCTGGAACTGGAGTAAGACAGTTGTGAGCCACCTGATATTGTCTTAACCAGTGAGTCATCTCTCCAGCCCCTCTTTACCCCAACTTTTGTCTAATTTATAAAATGCTATACATTCCTCAACTTCAATTCCTCCCTTCCTAGCATGTTAGTTATGTCTTTCATATTTTTATGTGTATGTGCATGGACATAGACATGAAAATGTGGGTGTATAACCTATGCACACAGCCTTCCTGTATTGCCTTCCACCTTACTGCCTGCCAGGAGACAGTAGGTCTTTGAACTTTGGTAGGACTTTAACAGTTTCCCCCTCCGAACTGTAGAGTCACAGGCACATGCAGCCATGTCCAGCATTTTTTATGGGTGCTGGGGACTCAAACTTGGTTCCTTATACGTTCAGAGTAAGCACTCTTACCCACTGAACCACCTCCTCAGTTTCCACCTTTATGATGTGGGAAACAAACCTGATTCCCCTCCCCCTCATACCTTTTCCAGGGTCATGATTGTGCAATTTCCTGTTTCATTTTTTTTTCACTTTGCAGGTACAGCCTGCACGGATGGGGTTTTTGGTTTGTTTGTGTTTTTTTGGGAGGCAGATGGGGGTTATCTCTTGCTCCCTTCCTAACAGAACCCAGCCATACTTATCCGGCTAGTGAGTAATTTTACTTGATATACTCTATAAAATGCAGTATCATTTAGAATGCTTCAGCCGTTACTCTGAAGTTCAGTCATTATTTCAAAGATCATCTATCAAAAAAACGGCAAACTATGGTCCCCATATTGCTCAGGTTGGGTTTGAACTGATTCTTTTGCATATACCTCCCCAAGCCCAAAAATCACAGAGTGATTTTTTTTTTTTTTACAGTTTTTTTCTTTCAAGTGTTTTGTTTTGTTTTTGAGGCGGGGTCTTACCCTGTAATACAGGCTGACCTGTAAGTCCTGGCTCAGCCTACTGGATGCTGGGATTACAGGACAGTCTTCAATAAATGCAATTTAAATAAAACTCACCTCAAGGAACTGAATTAAATTTGGGGTAATGTTTTGAGTCTATGTGAACATTACCAGTGGCACTAAGTGAAAGGTTCAGGCATTATGCTGGCCTGGCCCTGTTACCTAGCAGAATCCACTCAGGCAGTACCCTGGTCAGCCCAGGGTTCCATGGGAACTAAGTCTGCACGCAGGTGCAAAGGACCCCTTTACAAGCCAGACCCCTGCCCATTTACGCTCTCTCCTACTCTCTTCTCTATCTAACACTCTCGCTTTCCAGTGGTCGACCACTATCTCTCCTGTCTTCTCTCTTCCTCTCTGCTCTTCTCTGTTCTTCCATTTCTCTCTCTCCCGGTAATAAATTCTATGATTAATATACCCTTTATGCGCTCTATAGTTGGTGTTCCTTAGTGCCGGTTTCCATCTCACGGTTTCGTTTCTTTTCTTTTTCTAATTTTTAAGCTTTTACAAAACAACAACATTAAGGACGTCTCATATTTCATATTTCTTAATAAATTTAACAAACCACTTACAAAATTTTCTAGTCAATGGGCCAAGAGCCTACCCTGCTGTATGTGAGACCAACCTAGGAAATAATTTACAAAATTGGTCTTCAGTGTCCACTGCCATTTCATCTACCACACAGGGTAAAAAACAACCTTTTGTGCCGCACCATAAATGTTTTCCCGTTCAGGAGGGCATGGTGGGCTGCCTGCAATTCCAGCATCTGGGAGGTGGAGGCAGGAGGATCAAGGGTTCAAGGTCCGCCCCAGTTAGTTGTTATTCAGCGAGTTGGGGGTCAACTTGGGGTACTTGTAGCCGATTTTAAGAACAAACAAATAAATAAATAAAACTTAAAACAGTATTTTTTAAAAGTTGAGGGGCTG